GGGGGAAAAAGGGAAAAAAGAGGCTGGATGCAGTACCTTGGATATTCTCCATATCCAGTTTATCCAGGATAAACTACAGGCTTAAAACTGCAGGATTCACAATATCCCTCGGGAAAAGCTTTCCAAGAGACAGACAGTGAAATACCAGAGGAGATTGCCATGGAGAGGTGAGCAACCCCCACACTAAAGGATTTGAAAAGAGTCTGGACAAACACCCGCTGGGAATGGTTTAAATCAGTGGTTTTAAATTGACCAAATGCTGGTCTAAAGGATGAGCTAAATGATACAGGAGGTTCCTGCCTGCCTTGTATGTATTCTGTGGCTGGAATAAAACATCTCTGGAAAAATGAGACAACTGAGAAGTCTCCCCCAACAGCTTAATTACATAACGCAGCCTTATAAATGTAAATGGTCTATTAGGTTTCACCGTCCCTGCACCCTATGATTGCCTGAAAAGTACATAAACATCCTGAAGTTCAGACTAAACTGCAGCGGGAAATCTTTTTCTTGAGGAGGCAACTGCATACTTTCCATGCCAACGCGCAATCGAGTCATCCGGGAGTTACTCTACAGAATAAACTCTTCAAGCATCAGAGGTAAAAATCATTGCACGTGTTATAAAATGCTATTTCCATAAAAAGAATGTCATAAAATGTTTCCATCTTTAGTAATTTTCAGTGGAGCAGGAAATGCATTAGACTTGCAAGCAGCTGAACCCTTGAAGTCTGAATCTCATTTTACTGAGGTCTCTCACCCGAAATAAAATAATGATGTATCTTCCATTACACACAAAATGTCCTATGTTTTCCCAAATGAATCCACGCTCCACATTACATTCATCTTACGTAAACTGACACGCTCCCACCCCTCTATCCACCCATAAAAGCATTAGGCAAGAAGCCTGTCCTTGCAGTTTGCATACTAAGAATGTTTCAATCGCATGCATTCAAAAAGCAAAGGCTAAATCATCTTAAGGAGCCCTGGAGTCAGACAAAGCCATCACATTTCAACCATGCATTGTGAGAGTGTGTAAAAACTACAGATCAGCTTGCCCAGATAGAGATATAGTTGTATATACAAGACATCCGAAAGACTATTAAAAAAAACCCCAAATACTTGAATTCGTACCAGCAGAGTGAAATGTCTCAATTTGCCAGGGCAGAAGGATACGCTGCTTAAAGAAAAAGAAGAAAACAAACAAAAATCCCCAAACCCATGCATCTTTTGAATGGGCAAGGCCACAGGCACAGGAATGGTGCTCACAGGATAACGAGTCTCCCTGTGTCGGCTGATTTATGGCACCTGCTGTTACACAGGTGCTTCATCTGCAGCAATCACCAGCAACCGGTGTCCTTCTCCACGCACAGGAGTTCCCCCCACCCCCCGAAATTTCATAGGGGACAACTCCAACAACCTTTATTGGATTTCAGGACCGTTATGGGATTTCACTGCTTCTACCACGGGCAACATGCAATGCTGACTGATGAGCTTTGAAAGTTGGCAAGAAGATGGTACTAAAACCCATAAAGACACAGCCTTGCACAGCGTCTACAGAAAAGCACCGCTTATTCCTTACTAATGTCATCTTACTATTTATGGTAGCACTTTTTGTAAAAGTTTACAAGGATCAAAAAGCTGGGCTACAGGAAGTCCCAGTACTTGGAGCGCTCGCTTTCGCAATAAAACAATTGCTGATGCCTGGGGCACCAGTTGTGAATGTTATCAGCCATCTGGAGCAGCACAGCCACCAGAGTGTGACCTGTGTGGAACTACGAGCCAGAGCAGGGATTTACAGCAAGTAACTGGACTGAGTAACAAGGCAGGAGTAAATCCACCCGCCTCCTGTTATCTCTTGGCTGCTGGCACGGGGCAAAGCTTGGCTTCATGTGGGGCTCCACGGGGGAGGACGCCAGCTCTTCGGCTTTGAAGCACATGGTGCTCAGCCCAGGAGGGGACTGTGAGCTATGAGATCTCGCTGTGCCATTTTGCTCTGTCCCACAGAGGACATGGCCCTCTCCACCTCCCTGGACCGCAGGTCACACAGCTGCAAGATGCTTGGTCACATAGCGGGGTAACTCTGCTGGAGGTTCATGTCTTCTGGAACAATTCAGCCTTGACTGGAGTCCTCCTGTGGGATGGCTAAATGTGCTTTTTGCTTCACTCATCTGAAGTCCTCCCTGTAAAACCCTGTGGGCTGTCATTTTCAGTCTTTTTTCAGTGGTGCCCAGGGACAGGACAAGAGGTAATGGGCGCAAACTTGAACATAGAAAGTTCCATCTAAACATAAGGAGGAACTTCTTTCCTGTGAGGGTGGCAGAGCCCTGGAAGAGGCTGCCCAGAGAGATGGGGGAGTCTCCATCTCTGGAGACATTCAAAACCCGCTTGGACACGTTCCTGTGCAACCTGCTCTGGGTTTGGACTAGATGATCTCCAGAGGTGCCTTCCCACACCATTGATTCTGTGATTTAGAGGCATGGCCCAGCTGGTTCCCAACTGCTACGAAGCAAACACCAAAGGCACCCAGGCCTTGTGATGCTGAGGCTCTCTGCAGGTCCTGCAGACCTCAGAGCATCTCGAGCATCCTCCGCTCCTACAAGGCAAAGAGGCAGCCCCAAGAGCAGCAACCTGTGCAGACAAGTGGGCAGGAGTGGGAACACAAACTGAGTCCTCCATGCGCCTTGTACTTGCCCAGGCTGCTCCAAACTCATGAGTGTTATTCAGCCAAAGATGGAGACCCATGGGGACCTGCTCCAGCCTGAAATGAAACGCGTCCAGTACACAACCAGTGAAAGAAAAGCACAAGGACACATGTGGCAGCACCTCCCAGTCACAAACAACAGCCCTCATTTCAGTGCAGGAGAAACACCAGCGCTCTCCTGCCCCAGCAAATCCATCTGCTGTAGGTGGCTCCTCCAGGAAAGCCACCAGCTGCTGTCACGGCCCTTGTTTGTGGGTGCACAGGGGACAATGGACACACTGACAAGCTGAAACCATGTTCTGGTGCTTCCCAGGGCGTCGGACACAGACAAAATGCAGAGAAAGCTCCTGTGAAGAGTCATGCACTAATGTCGCAGAAGGTGAAATGTAAATGCTGTTTCCTGGTGACCGGCCAACGCCGTAAGCCACAGACAGGGACAAGGCACTCGTGGACACCAAGATGCAGATGAAGAGATGCACTGAGCCGGTCACAGAGGCAGCGTGGGGGTCCCGGGTTACCTGGGGAAATCGGGGCTAACGGAAGAGATCTGTCCCTGCAGGGAATCCATGATGTTGCTCTGCGAATAGAGCTGGAGGGGAGAATTGAACTGCACGTGCAGCACCTTGAGTCCCGGCACCTCCACTTCCACGGGGCTCTTGGGGCAGACCTGGGCTGCCTGTTTCAGCTGCTCGGGCCCCACTCGGACTTGGCTGGGGACGGAGGGGGTGCTGTGCCTCCGCTGGGGCAGCTCGGAGGGCTGGGTCTGCAGGGGGTTATAGACGGAGGCGATGGGAGCCTGCATCGGGCTCAGCGGCGATGGGCAGCTACGGGGCCACCAGTTCACACCAGTTTGAGTCGTGTTTGTTAGTTTGTTTGGGGGTCATTTGGGTTTTACGGTGTGGAATCGAGGGAAAAAGGCAGAGGAAGAAGAAAGGGAAAGAAGGAAGAAATTAATGAAAGGCTAAACCAAACACTCCAAGCATTACAAGCAGTTGCAGAATGCTGTCTTCACGTTAAAGGCTTCTGGCTAACGCTGTGGCTCTGGTGTCACACTCCAGGTGTGTCCACACAAACCCCATTTTTTTTACAGGGGTTGTAAAAGCAATGAAGACATGGCAGTGGGGGGGTTCACTATGAATTAGCTACCTGAGTATGCACTCGTGGTCCCACTGTCCAGCCATGGAATGCCACCTTCGCTGCTGACCTCCCCAAAGCGACCCTGGGTGACCTACCAAGGGGCACCTCTGATCCTAAACCAGACGTGAGGCTTCTCCCTGCCCACTTTGTGACACCAAGCCCAGTAGAGAAGGTGGGTGGTGTTTCTGTCTGTACCACAGCCCTGCATTTATATCACACACACCCTCTAAGGATGGACCATGCACCAGGTCCCCTTGTCATATGTCACCATGTGCGGTGGCAGGATGAGACTGCCGGGTTCAGACAGGCTGGGTGTCTGCTGGGTGCAGGATGGAGATGCAGAAAAAAAAGTGGGATAAACCCATAACAAGGTTTACCACATACAAATAGCTCATCAAAACAGACAGGCTGGAAATAAAAGGCAACTAGAAGGTTGTGTGAAGGGAGAACCTACACATCCTGGGAGACCACAGTGGGTTTTTAATGGCAGGGTGAAGCCCCTGGCTCTCACTGAACTCCAGCAGTGATTCATTTGCTTTTGACAGCTGTGAACAAAAATGTATGAGCACTGAAGGTCTCATCCACAGCCTCCCCAGCACTCCTCTGCAACTTGCTGTGTTTCCACAAGGGAAAGATGAAAGAGATGCCATGTACCCTACATGCAGCAGGGCTGGCAATGGGCCTTCCTGCTCGGAGGAGCAAAGTGAGCCACAGCACTACAAGAAACCCATCTCTTTGGTGATCCCTGCAAGAAAAAGGGATCATCCACGGATTTCCAGTCAAATATACCTGGCTTCCAGGGAGTGCTGTCACCCAGAAGGCACTCCAGACTAGACTAGAGATGGTATTTGACTGCCAAATGGTCCCATCAGGTGAACACAGTCAGATTTTCCCTTTGCTCTGCCCCTGACTGAGGCTGCTGAGGTCTACCAGAAGCAAATGAGGAACAAATATCTGTCACCCTGTTTGCCAGCTGCAGCACCGAGGCTGAAGTTGCATTCAGAAGTCAGGAAATTAGTCAAATATCCCCTAAAGCACTGGTCTTGCAGCTTTTGTTGTAAAAGTGGCCAAAGTCTTCCAGGCAGTTTGGCACTGCTATACAGAGACTTAGGGCAGTTAAGGAACCAACACAGCCAGCAAGATTTCAGAAAGCTCCTGGTTAATTGTTTCTAATGAAAAAAGAGGAACCTTGGGAACGTCTGGGATAAAGCAATGTCTTTGGTGAAGCTCACATGCAACCACAAAAACCAACAGGCCCTTTTAAGGTTGGGACCCTTTCCAATCCCATATATAAAATCGCTCACACAGGGATGAATGGTTCAGCCACTTCTTAAAACTCCCGCGAAAAACAAGCTTCAGTAATAAAAAAAACACCCATAGAATGATCCAAACTTAGGCAGAGCTTCGTCTATGGATCCCAGGCCAGCTGGGGACTGGGATGCACTAACTGGTACCCTTCCTGCCCAGCATTGCCCACAAAGCCAGCCTAAAATGCTAACTTTACAAAGTGCTCGTAAGAAGCTGTGAGGCACCTGTTCAGACCAGCGGGCTGGTATGTCATGCTGAACGCACGTGGAAACTGCGTCGGTCTCTGCTGAACAAAGAAACACAACAGCATTAATTTCATTTCTGCACCTTGGGGAACATTCCCCGCTCCTCCGAGCCCTGCCAGGCTCACACCTCTCCTCCTTCCCTTGTTCCTGAAAGAGAGCTTTTGTGGGTTAAACGGGTACCCTCGCAGCGAGCTTTTTGTCTCCTGGAGCCTTCTCCTGGGGGCCTGGGCAAGGAGGGAGAAGCGAGGAAGATACTTACGGCTTGGTAGGCTCCGGGGCCCCAGGTGACGTCTTGGACTCCACCGCATTGTTGAAGGTCTGGATGTTCTCTGAGGAGTAGAGGCCAGCTGGGCTGTTGTACTGAGCAGTGATCACTCTGGGGGCAGAAGCCGTGGCAGCAGTGAAGGGCACCGCGCTCCGGTTGTGTGCACTTCCTATGTGCTTTATTTCCTGCATGCAAAGGAGCAAAGGCAAAAAAAAAAAAATAAAAAATCAGAGGTGCTCAGGCGTGCAGGTGGGATGTGACAGGGCAGCAGTGGTGGCCTTTGCGTGCGGTGTCAGCTGAGGAGCACGGTACCATGACCACCGAAGAAGGCAAGTATCATCCACGCATCATGAGGGCACCTGGATGGCTTCAGGCTGACCTTCAGGATGCTTCAGAATTAACGTGCCGGGAACATAAGAGCTCAGAAACACTTGCAGAGCCATTAGCTCAAGCTGCCACACGCTAATTAACACAAGCATTCCCTGCAATTCCTGAAAGCAGGGATGACTTCTATGGAAAAGTGAAGACAAGGGGCAGAAAGAGGAGCACTCTCCAATGACATCTGAAAGTTTAGCTTTTTGTTAGGGTAACCCAAAAAGAAGGGCTTTGTCATTACCACAAACACCCTGGAGCAAGTCTGCTCCTTCAGCTAAGACTGGGGTTCGCAGCTGCTGTCTGCAATGAACAACTTTGGACTTTCTGGACAAGAAATTCCCACAATAAAGGTGGGAAGATGACCCTTGCTAATACAAAAGACTGTCCATAGAGAGTGACAGCTAAATGCCAGAGGCTCTTCAGTGCCAAAAGTACAAGATATCACCCAGACATTGTGGGTTAGCTGCAAACTGAAGGTTTCCAGAGGTATTAGTGATACATAGAAACACTGCTAAAATTTAATAAGAAAGGGGCCAAATCCAAGTTAAATAAGACATGAGGTAAGACTGAATCACAAGCAGCTTTAACAAAAATGGGGAAATTTCTAAGCCTCATCACTAGTTCAGCACGAATTAGCAGCTTTGGGGCAGAGAGAACAACATCCAGGGCTTATTTCTCCCCAGAAAAGATGCTTGACCAAAGCAAAGAGTGTGTCCAACGGGGCCTCGTCAGAGCAGGGAGAAGAAAGGACTAGCATTCACAGAGGTGGCTGAAATATCCAGGGCAGAGAGAAGGCACCAAAATGTGCGTTTTGAAATGTTTCAGCTGGCTATAGAGATTGGGAATGGCTTCACCAGAGGGCTAACGCCCAATGGCACAGGATGAAACGGGGCTCTTCTTAATATTCTGGGCCCATAGTTCCCAGTGCTAATTAACACAACCGGTTCCCACTCCGTAGAGCAATGAAGGGAGCCTTCGCTGCCCTCTGAACATCTCAGGGCATTTATTTGATAGAGCTATAGTTACAGGATAAACACTCACTAGAAACAAGGATGACTAAATTCCCCTACAGATTTTTTTTTTTTTTCCTTTAAAATCGCTTTTACGTCCCCAGATTTCCTTGGGCAGTTGGCGAGCGTTCCCAGACTGACAGATGGGAGTCATCTCGCTTCGTGGCACTTCAAATGCTATTTATGGCACCAGGCACAGCACAGGGTCCCTCGGAGAGGAGCGGCGTGGATCCAAACGCGCTCAGGAGACACAAGTCATTTGCAATCAGTGGGGCAGCGCCAGACGTTCAGGTGTGGGGTGGTGGGACTGCTCTCCCACAGCTTTCTGGCCGTGGAAGCCAGCCACAGAGCTTTCCCACACACCAAAGGAAGAAAGACCCTGGAGTAATTAGCTAATCTCCCTTTGTTACAATCTCATTCAAAGCACATAACAGTGCTTATAAAAATAGTCTTTCCCAGGGCAGAAACTGTGGATTTTAGCAAAAAAAAAATAAAAAAATCATTACTTCAGCCTCTATATCACACCATAGGGAAAACTATCAGTGATCTTATATCAGCATTAAACACACATGTTAGCCCACCATTGGGAGGCCACAAGTAGGAGAGAGTTTCAGACGTGAATACAAAGAGTTCTTTTAAAGAAAGACAGAGGCAGAAGTTTTAGGCTAAAGGGGGTTATACTGTTAGGTCAAGTAGGTTCAAAGTTTAATCATGTCACAATCTATATTGAGGAAATATGGAAGTACCAACCCAGAATTACAAAAAGGGAAGTAATTCAGGGCATTTAAAAAAAAAAAATCTGTTTTCCCAAGTAAGGCGTCTCAATTACATATTCCACGTGCACATGGGCACGTTGCCACCCCCACCAAAGACTTTTGAATCTGTCAGCCAAGCCCAAATCAGTCTGACAGTGATGGAAGCCTCAAGGATGTTTAAGCTCCTACAAGTGCTGAGAAAATAGACAGCCAGATGGAAGAGACTGAAATCACATTAGTACCTTGATGCTGAGAACTGCAACATGTGCTCAGGCACAGAATCCACATAGGAGATTTTGGCCCACTTTTGGCCACCCGGTAGGAGTTCTGCTGTGTGATAACATCCGAGACCATAAATTAAGCTTTTAAAAGTATCAGGCCATCTGTAGTAGTGTTCATGTGGATAAAGTCCACTGACTATAAGGGATTTTATAACAGGTTAAATAGAGATATCGGTGCAAAAGGTGGTGTCTGAAGATTAGATTAGAAAAAATCCCATCTGGAGAACAGCATAGAAGATATATAACCTGAGAGTCTATAGTCAAATAGTATGAGAGCAATAATATTATAAAGGGCATTTGGATAATCCAAATTCTCCAGCGCTTCCTGTCATGCCGTGCTGCTCTTTCTGCTTGAGCTGTAGAAGGAATTTGCAAAGAACAAGTGCTTTCATGTAGCGACCTCAAGACCAAAAGACAATGTGTTCTCACTGTCAAATGTATTTACCCAGGGATTTGCCAGAACTGCCACTCTAAATCCTGTGCTGTGCAGCAATTTTGTTAAAGCCCCAGCTCCTGGAATCATGTGTTTATGTCAGAGTCTCTGACTTAATACTGGAGCAACCTGGTCTGGTGGGAGGTGTCCCAGCCCAGGGCAGGGGGGTTGGAACTTTAAGGTCCCTTCCAACCCAAACCATTCTACGATTCTATGAATAAGCTCCAAGTGGCTTTGGAGCATGATCCCACATGCTCCAGAGCCCTGCAGGCACTAAGTGCAAATCCCCCCTTCCTAGGGAAAAAGCTACTTCCCAATCCCAAGGACAAACAAGGCTTGTAGGACCCCAGCGCCAGGTCAAATACTCAGGTCTCCCGCCAACTGGGTCTTCTGGGTGCTGGCCGTTGGTGGCAGCAGCCCTCTTTGGGGGAAGATGGGGACATTGCAAGTGCTGCACAGCGGCCCTTCCACCTGGGTGCCCAGGGGCTTTTGCCATCACCCCAGCCCTCCCGGCAGGGAGCTGCCAGCCACAGCCATGGTGCCAGGCAGTGGGGACAGGGGAAAATGTCCCTGTGCCGGGGCAGGAAATGGATCAGCACTTCCTATCGCACCGGCTGCAGGCTGCGTCATGGGGGAATTATCTGGGAAAACAATGGCCCCTTCCTCCCTTTCGTCCCGCTCGCGCCAGGCCACGCTCGGCGATGCTGAAGGCCAGCCTGTGAAAGCCCCACAGCTGCCTCAGCCCTCACCTCCATGGCGGGGGCCGGCCGGCGTCTCGCCGTGTGGGCGGCTGCTTCCTCCCCACCACGCACCAGAGATGGACGTGGCTACCACCATGGGACCCGCTCTTCTGGAGAATCGGGGAGCCAGACTCCAGGGAAATTCCCAGCTGTCAGGGAGGGAGGCAGACAGATGGGCAGACAGCCCAGGATGAGCCACCACCTCCATCTGCCGAGCTGGGGCACATCCCAGGCACCAGCAGCACAAAGCCACCCAGACGCCTCCATAACCCCAGGTGTCCTCGGGCAGCCCAGGGGCAGCCCAGGGCGAGGGTGGGCTCTTGTGTCCCATCTGCCACACGGTGACGTGGCCAAGGCCACCCCGGCTGCACTGACCTCACCACATCCAGAAACAGGAAAAACCTGGAGGCTTTTTGTACCTCCCGAATAAACCAAGGCGTGAGGGGTCAGGCGCTCCTCTCCCCACAGCATGGCCTGGAGGCAGCTGGGCAGGGCTAGGGCCTCAGGGCTGCTGGCTACTGTCCCGCTCCCCTGCTTGCCCCTTCCTGGGCCACCTCCCCAGACCCAGAGGAACTGCAGGTCAAGTATGGAGTAAGGAGGGAGCTGCTTGAAGCTACCGAAACCTTATTTCAGGTGCAGAGTTGTGATTTCAAGACTGGCCACCATAGCGATTTCCTGAGCCTCCAGCCCTCAGAGTCAGGGGATTCATTCCAACCTTATGGTACAAATTAAAACAAGAAAAAAATAATCAGCACCCAGGCTCTGGAGTTGCAGGGAGAATGGAAAGGCCCTCGAAGGAGCCAGTGAAACCCGCTGCCCCACCGGGCCCCAGAAACACGGGATGGTTTTTGAGTCCCGAGTCAGAGCCCGGGGGCGGCCAGTCCTGGATTGCGCACCTCGAGAGCCACGCCAAGAGGAAACAAGATTAAACATTTCTCGGCATAAATGTTTACTCAGCTCCAAGAAAACGGGCCCCTGACCAAACCTCAGGGAAGGAGAACGCTCCAGTCCCGCAGGCGGGGAAGGAGAGGGGAGACCAGCAGCCAAAACCCACCCCTGGCTCCATCCTTGCCCTCGGGAAGCCGCCCGGGGAGCCAAGGCCATGCTGTGGGAAAGCTGCTGGTGCCAGACATGTGGCAACAGCTCAGAAGAAGACATCTTCATGGCAAACTCTACCCCATGCTACGTTTCCCCAGCTGCGATCACAAGCGTTAAGAAGTGCCTTTACTTTCACCTCTCCCTCTGTTATTGTTTGGGGTTTTTCAGCTATGGAAAGATCTTTTGCAATGCTTTGAAATCTGATTAGAAATTAGGAAGGGTTCGGGGTTTTTGTTATGGTAGGGGGGTGTAAAGCAACAAGGCCAGCTTCCCACATCCTCTTGCCCCCACCTCCCTCGACACATTCCACATCCATGCAGTAACGCCTTTTAACCAAAAACAGCAGGTCATGATACGCCAGCGCAGTTCCCTTGTCTGAAAAAGCCGTGGTGTTACTTTATATACCTATTGCTTCACGCGTTGCCCACACACGCACGGCCTTATCAAAGGCCAAGCCAGCCACACACCCAGTTTCTATAGCCCCTGCTTTTCTCCGTATCCAGGGAGATAAAATACACAAGATGGAAACAATGACATCACCCTGCGAGGACCAGGAGGACAGGGCAGGCACTCTCAAGAAGCCTTGGGAAGACAGAAGTGGCTGTCCGTCATTGTCATCCCACAAATAACATGATTCACCTCCAGAGCTCCTCCGGCTGCATGTCTGGAGGTCATTTCTCATTTAAAAACAAAAAAACAAAAACCAACAAGCCAAAACATCCTCATGTTTGAAAGCCCGTATCTTCTGTGGTTAAAAAGAGCTGATCTACCCATCTCAAACCACAAGCTTTCCCTGACATTCTTGAGGGGTGACATCAATACTTAGGCCTCGCTGCAAATGGGGTATGTGGCCTTCAGGCAGCTGGACAAGCTTTTTTGGAGATGGTCCTGATGTTGGCTGCCCTCAAAGCTGGTCTCTCAGCTCACTTCTGACGTGAGCTCACTCAGCTCAGAGACCTAGGCCCTCTTGACCTCAATGTCCTACAAATACAGGGTGGAGAAAAAAAAAACAAAACCAAAAAACAGACAAACCTTTTCCCACAGAGCCCAGGTCTGACAAGACATGGCACACTCTGAGGGATAAAGAGTTTTCATTGTTCATTTTACCAAGGGGAAATACAGCCATGCACAACCAGTGCATGGGTTTGGAGCTTAATGCCTGGCCCAGGGTCACCAGAGAGCCTGAAAATTATGCTGGTTTCTGCTCAGTGTCACAAGCATTAAAGTTACCTGAGTCACAAAGTAATTTGTCCTCTCTTGCTGCCATCGCTTTTCCTCAGAAACATTAAGTAGAAGGGAAAGGCAGACGTGTTATTTTACATCTTTCCCGCTGTGGTGAGGAAAAGCTCTCGGTGGGAAAATGTCACCGAGCGATCGCTCTTAGGATCTGGGTGAGAAGTGCAAGTGAAATAATTGAGTAAATATACTAAAACGGCTCTGTCATTTCCTTCCCCAAAGGTTGCCATGGTCACACCCAAAACAAAGCTGGCTCAGCCGCTGAGCCATCACCACTAACAAGCCACACCTTTTGCCACAATGTGATTTTGTCATCACTCTTGCCTCAGTTTAAATTAATTTAGAAGGATAAAGATAATGGTAATGAAATAATAATAAGGCTGCAGCTCTTTCATGAGCAAAGGTCAGCTTAGACAGTGAAGTCAGTCTTGGGATTCAGGACTTCGGGGAATGCATGGGAGGTTGTGGAATGCCTTTTTATTTTCCAAAGGCACATAAAAGTATCTTGAACTTGCATTCCAAGTAAGGGAAAATACTTCAGCAGGAGGACGCAGCATTTCACCAAGTATCAGCCTCCAAAAGGATTACAGAAGTAAACAAATAGTCTATTTCAAATGGGTTAAAGAATGTGTACGCAGTGATCTTAAAATAAGTAGCTAGTCATGCAGTTCTTGAGACAAACTGAACATTAATTTCTTTCACAAGATCTTTCGCAAAGATCTAGTTATTTAACTGCACCGATAAAACGGGAAGAGGAAAAGAAGGTGGACAAGTGCTGTGAGAACTTCCAGTTAAGATACTGAAGGTAGGAGAGGCAACATCAAACTACCTAGTTTTAAGAAAGGTGGAAACTTATTAGAATAATTGCAGTCCAATTTCTACAGCAAAAGTTTTTAAGCCTAATTTTTTTTTTAACCTGAAACAAGTCTATTCACATGTATGATTATATTTCTGCATTCAAAGGGCTCTGTGCAAAACCAGCAAGAAACATCTTCAGAGGAACCCTGGATCAGGGCTTAAATGAACCACTTGGACTGAGTTATGTCCTGTTTTCTTTGGTAAGTGAATTAATAAGTGTTCTGCACGAGACTGGTGCCAAGGAAAGCAAATACATTGTTTTCACTGGCGAGCGAGTTAAAAAAAACCTGAACAGCTCAGACAGGGCTGCCTTCGAAGACTGGGCTCTACTCACAACTTCCACCAACCCCGTTATAAAAATGAGATCAGCATCTTTGTGGTGAAATTCATAGCCCTTTGCCATGCTGGGATATATACACACAGCATCTTCTGCTGCCTGAAAGCTCTGGTGACGCTGCAGAGACACGGTCCCAGAGTGACTGGGCTGATGGCTTGCCATGGCTGTGGCAGGAGCCAGCAGGCTCTGCTGACTTCATGCTCCAAGCAGACAGACCTCACCACAAACCTTACTTGCTGCAGTCAGCTACTGAAAAAGGAAACGGGTGTGCGCTTCCACAAACAAACATACAAAAAAAAAAAAAAAACCAACCCACCAACAAAAAGAAAACCAAACCTTAAAACTTGATGGTGTTCATGACACTTTTCTTTGGCACAGCGGACTGGGATGTTCAGGGACTGTTAAGCAGGAAGAGTAAATGGGAGTTTGTGGTTTGGAGATATGATACATCTTCCCTCACACTGCTGAATTCCTCTGTTTGAGTACATGGCAGGCAAAGCCCTTTAAAGGAAAGCCCTGTCCTCTGAACAGCAACAAGCCCCACTCACACAGGCACCTGCAAATGACTTAATTGGCTTCATTTTTAGGGAAGAAGAAAGGCAAGACTTCTCTGAGAGCCTGAATGATCCTTCTACACCAGGAAATAAAACTCTTCAGTATCAGCCATCACAAAGGGGTAAAAGCCTAGTTTTCAGGCAACAGTTGGTTCCTAGCGCAAGATTAGGACATGGGTCACTGCTCAGACATAAGTTTGTAAAAGGAACCTCTCTGCAGCCAGTTTCTCACCAAATTCTCCTGCAAAAGTCAGTTACAGGTTGGTATCAACAAATTCAGTTGTGCCACGCATAGGAACTGGCAGGATCGGGATAGCTACATGATGGCCAGAGCTAGAACAAGGATTAGGACTAAGGCTATGGTTTAGGAGGATGATGTGCTCCATTGCCAGGATTATTGCTGAATCCTCCACTGTCTGACCTTCATGATGTCCTTTACTGGGATTTTAGAAAGCAGGGCATGACTTGTAAGTCCAAGACTAGAATTAAGGTTAGTCCCTCTCACTCGTGTTTCTTACAGAGTTGCAGGAGGCTCCCTGAACCAGTCCAGGGGCCAGACTCACATACAAACACTCCACCTGAAGGGCAGCTGACTAAAGAACAGCCATTGATTAGGGTTAAAACTGCCATAGCAAAGGAGTTTAAGTCAGAGGTGGCATCAGTTAATTAAAACAGACTATGTTTAGTACTTGACCAGCAGTGGTCAAGTTAATAGCCCCTCTTGCAGCAAAGCATCAGTGCAGACTCTGTTCCCCCTCCTTTGGCGAGGGATAGCCCCAAGTCTCAAGGTTTGCAGCAGAACATCTCCAGAGCTTAGAAGGCAGAAGACAGATTAGATCTCAGCTCAACAGTGTCCCAGGGAGGTGTCATGCCATGGCCTAATCCCAACCCGAGTCCAAATGCCTGGGTCCCAGGCTGTGCCTTGGCTGAGTTACGAAATACCTGGAGAATGCCGCACCACGCTCTGGAGCCAAGCAACACACAGCAGCCTGGCGTGAGAGGGAACACGGACAGATCCCAGGCCAAGGTCTGGCCAGGGTGTTGCTGCACATGTGCTACTTTAGGTTCGGGTCCTTTCCAACCCAAACAGACGCATTAGCACTTAATTAATTGCAGAGTCAAACTGGTTTTATCTCTGCTTATTTTGCTAGAAAGGCTCGCACGGGTTGTGTGCTGGGGCCAGAATCCATGCCACTGCCCTGGTGAAAACCTGGAGAAATGCCACTGATTTTAGTGCAGTTATTGTAGATTTGTGCAGGACAATCCCCTAAACCTAGCTCAGGTATAGGTCACTTATTACTACCTTTACTTGACAGAGGCAGCAGACCAGTGAAGCGAAGCTACCAAAAGGTCACAAAACCAACCTCTTAGACAGAGGCTATAAGATCTGCCCCACAGATTAAAATATAAAAGGCTGGTGCACTTCTCTTCCACTTTCTTCACAGCTAGTAAGAGGAAAAAACAGACCAAGAAGAGCCCCAACGGAAAATACTAAGAATGAATCATTTTCCTCCCCTCTTACCCATGAAAATCAAAAGGCTTAACAAGGCTAGCAATGATCTATTAAGCCACACCTCTATAGTGCCTTCTGTGCCCTTTGGTAGGTGCGAGCATGCAGATGGCAGGAGACAACACCTCAGATCAAAGCAGCTTACCCTTGGCAAGGCATCCGACCAGCTCTCCTTGGCCTTCCGACCACGAGGGAGGGAGTCTGTCTCTCAAGGATTCCGAGGACTGCGTGATTTCTAGGAGGTATGGGGCACGCGCTGTCCCCAGTGCCACCAACGGAGTGACACACGCTCAGCTCCTTGGAGGATTGGGCCAGAAACTGCTCCAAAGTCGGACAGGAGTAGGCAGGAAGAAGAGCATGCAGATAACTACTCACCTGCGGCTGAGAGGCCAGATTCATCTTGTACGGATGCGTCTTTCCCTCCTCATTTACAAGTGGTGACCAGACTTTTGTCTCTGTTCTGCAACACACAGATATAATTTTTTTTTTAATAGTTAATCTACTTTCGTCACTGAGCATCATCACTGTTATTAAAAGACTTGAAGTTCACCAGCTGGAAACACTTCTGTATGTACAATGCACATCAGGAGGAATCTAGACAGTCTCATTTTAGGCATGTAACTTGGATGACTTAATTATGTTGTACGAGGTCCTCGGAGAGAGATAGGATCTCAGCAGTGACTGTCCTGGCTTATCCTTTGGAACTCCACGAGTTGGGGGTCACCCAAGCAGCAGAAGCTGGAGATACCCCTTAGATGCAAATCCTTAAATTAAATGGGACAATTCAGATTACTGCGTGTTTCAGCTTTTATGGGTAGCCAGGAAGAGGAACAATTCTTGTCTGCATTCATGATACAGAGAACATTTTGTTCTTGAATTTGTGCTGCCTTGGATAAGCTAGAAATATTTTTTGTTTTGGGTATCCAGAACTCCCTTCTTATTTACACAGTGGTATCCATGCTGAACAAACAGAGGCTTTTAAGAATTATGAAAAAAATGGGTCCAAGTCTGCAATGAGACTAAGAACTGAGATGACATAACGTGTCCAAGAGAAAGTCTGCATTATCTTTGCTGGTCTGTGGTCTGACCCAATTACTGACAACAGCCTGAAACACAAGTCAAGATCTGTGACCGAAACCAATGGCTTTTACCACTGTCATTCTGGAGTTTTGCTGTGTCCCAAAGAACAACAGGCAAACAAGTGGTGAAGAAGTAGCAGAGTGCTTAGCCTTGCTTGAAATACTTTGTGGGAAACACACTACCTACATTTCTCAGAAGTACAGAGAGTAGTTAGCATCTCAGATGGACTAAATGATGCCACTTTTCACAAAGTTTTTCCTAGTAGGGAACGAGTGGCTGCAGTACTGCTGAATGAAAACTGTTGGTCAATGCTAAGCATTGCATAATGCAGCAACCAGATGGTTGATAAACTCTCAGGATGAGTTTTGAAAACCATGTCCTGTTTTGACAGGAGCCCTTTGTAGAATCTGCAACTGCATATAGATGTACTTCCCAGATATTTGTGGGTCCAGGGCCAGCTACAATTTAAGCACTTAGTTAGCAAAACAGGAGTGTTTCCGCTGAGAATTAACTGGATAACTGGAAAGAAACTTTAAAACAAAAAAAGCTTATAAAAATGACAAGGATGGAGAAAGAGGGTGTAGAGCTACCCACGATAAATTCAATCTGGTCTACACCATTCCTCTAAAAGCTCTCCAATGTCACAACATTTTTTAAGCAGCCCAGACTTAACTGTGATGCATATATATATATCCCAGACATTTGCTGCATAAATAGTATTTTAAGACTTCTATCCAGAGGGTAACTCAGTGGGAGGAGATGGCAGGCAGCATTCTCCCTCAGGGAAGAGGAGAAATTTTATTGACCTGCTATTGCATCTATTGCACTCTGAACTTTACACGGAAGAAACCTGAATGAGGTCTGCTGTGCTGCACCTCCTTTCGTAGGAAAGTACAAAGATACAGGTCACACCAGGTGTGATTCTCCACAAGCACTCAGGTACAGTAAACCTTTGACTCCAGGCTGTTACACCCTGCGGGCTCAGCCACGGTGCTGACACCCCACAACCTACACTCACCCAAATCCTGGCATCTGGCGAGCTGGGGCACACACAGACTAACAAATACGAATGTAACAGCCACACGGGATCAAATCTGTGCCAATCTGATCATTATCTTGTCTCAACAGCTGCCATCACTGGATGCACAACATACCACAGGTGAGTTTAACACTACTGTTCCCTCCTCACTTCTGGCAACCTGTGCTTCAAGGTGCCTGAGGAACCAGCAATTTTACCCAGATTACGGCTATCAATCCTGACAAAGTCACAGCCATCTCTAGGAGGGCTGTATTTTGCACTTGAAGACTCTGTCTGCGGAGGGGAGCAATGCAAAGCTTCATTCCTTCCAAGTGTTTGGAGATCACGTGCGACCAAGTTTCAGCTCCTCTGGAAAAACTGGGGATGCAGCAGAATATGTGGAATCCAAACACCCTGCCAGGCGGGCTGTGAGCAGGTGGACATTGGCTGGAGATGAAAGAGCAGCTCGGAGAGCATTAAACACTTGGCATCCCCACGCCAGCTCTCACTAGCAGTGACCTAAGTACTCTTGAGGTGGCATTTTCTTTTGCCGCAGTTTAATATTACCACATTTCAGAAGCATCAAAAGGCCTTATTTGGACTGAAAACTTAAGCTTAGAGCAGGCCAATATATGAATACGGAATGGAAACCTCCTCCCAGGACCCCAGGCACTTGCTTTTGTCCCACTACCCCTCATGCATTTGAGGTGACAGAGCACCTTGATCTCCAGCGTAGGGGAAGCAGCTATGGCCAACCACTGCAGCCAATGGGGTTTTTTTGGACCAGATTTTTCTCCCTTATTTATTAGCAAAGCAAAAAGCACAAGTTTGTTTCCCAGCCCGCTGCCATTCTGATCTGTCACTGGATATAAATGGAAGCAGCAAGGTCACTCCAGGCTTTACTTTCAATCCAGTTTAAAAGTTATGCAAAGAGAAAGGTTAAATAGCCCGCACGGTTGTCCCTCTATGGATGACAGGATAAAGCTTCCCTTTGTCTTCACAACAGCTGCAGCAGAACCCCTCAGCCACTCTCAACAGCCCATTTATGGCCCCAGCAAAGCCACAGAGGATACAGCTTTGCTGTCCCCCTGGCTTTGCCTAGCAGGGCTTTCAAGGAACATGCCTCGTCCCACCACACCACCTGTAGAACCCACCATCTGTGGGTCTTTGGTGGGACTGCGATGGTCCCAGATCTCAGCAAGGGTTTCCTGGCTCTATTCCTGGCATCAACACCTGCAGTTTTCCTGAAGTGTGGCAGGAGCCAGAAACATAGCACCTAAAAGTCCACTTTATGTGTCCCACTTCCAGCCAAGGACCTCTTTTCTAAAAAGCTGGGAAGTGTGGACACAAGGCACAGACAGGAGGGTGGATTGGTTAGACTCATCGTGTTTGTATCTTATAGATAAGATATGAAAACATATTTACATGGAGCAAGGAAGAGGTGTCAGAGTAGACAGCTCAAACCCAGCCTTGACAATGGTTCCTTCAGTTCACAGCAGGCTGCTGAGGGTAGGTCTGTAGTGGCTTTATGGAGAACTTTTTCCCAACTTGGGTGACTGGTGGAGGAGCTGGATGTCCAACAGCCTGCTGGGGAATCCTGCCATGCCCTTGGTGAAAGCCAGCAGGCTCTGGCATCCCCATAGGATCTCAGACTCCTGCTTAATCTGACGAATATTTCTTTTATAATATTGTTTCGAATGCATATTCTTTCAAATGAGACTCCAGAAGAGCACAACACTCAAACAGTGCAGAAAGAGAAGGCAAAGCCATGACACTCAAACAAGCCTGGGATCAAGTGCCAAGCAAATTAATTGCAGACACATGGATATACAAACTTTGTCATGTTTGCAGTTTATATTTCCACGCTGTTTCTTTACTACAGGAGAGAGAACAACCAAGAGGGGGCCAGGGAATGAGCTGTGCATTTGCTGTTTCATCCAGGCAGAAACCAAGACCCAAGATCAGAAAGAAGTTTCTCTGATGCTGGTTTGGATGGGGAGGAACTGGTAGGAAGGGGAGGAAGGAAACTGCATGCAAGTCAAGGCAGGAATCTGGAGAGGTATTTACGAAATACAACATTTTTCAAGAAGCTTGGCTTGAACATGGTGTAATATAAACATTACAAGAGCCTAGATTTTGCTATCAATGCTTTGCGTGCAGAGCTGGGCCATAGCTTCAAGGGAAAATTCAGAGCTGGAAAATGAGGGTCTGATTCTGTGTGCCAGGAACTGTGTGAGTAAGCTCCATAAAGAAGAAAGGCACGTTCACATTCCCATTTCAGACTCTGGGACGGACATGAGATAGCAAAGTAGCAAATAAACTCATAAAGATTGAAAAGTTCCTTGCGCAACACCAAGTTTGCTAGCTGAAAATGAGGAAAAACCGAAAGAATTCCTCTTTCAACCCTCCCCAGAGTTTTAGACAGGCATTTTAATAATGCTTAGAAACTAACTACGAGGGCTCTCAGGCTACCAGGAAGGTACCTTTTAATCAGCCTTTTAGCTACCACAGCTGCAAAGTACCCAGCCCTGGGATTTAAACACGAGCAGTCACTTTTCGCAACCAGCCATTAATGGACATACCCACTTTGGCAAGCAAAACCGTACTCGGGCTACTGCCAACTCAAACAGCAATGCTGGCCACAACTTCCTAGGGACAAGAGCCCTCAAATCCATTTCTTCACGCATGGCCCTCTGCTCCTTGAATTTCAGGTGTCTCTTCCCACAACCACTAAAAACAAAAAAGGGCAAACCCAGCTACACAGAAGCAGCAACAGAAGTTTATCACAAGAGGTTCCATTACAGAGTTACGAAGGATAAAACCCAACCACTCAGCCTCACCACCAGCCAGCTGCAGAATTAACTACTTCTGCCCAGCCAAAGAGGCTGTAAAAACACAACAAATGCCAAGCTTGACTTGCCAAAAATGACTTTGAAGGTGCCAATCACTAGTAAAAGCCGCCGGCACGCAGGCAGGAGGGCTGGGAGCACCACACCAGCCATGGAGGTGCAGGCAATCTGCATGGCCTTATATAGATGCAGGCAGAGCATCGGGCTTTTCCCAGGGCCAAAAGAATTATTAGTAAGATGACAGAGCTGGAAAACTCTTCTTGGCAGGGAAGCAAAAAGCAAACCTAAATGAGTCAACAGATTCCACCGGCTTCCTAGAACAAAAATCCGAGCCTATTGTGGCTTTGTGGAACTAGTCCCCCCACAGATGAGACTGGGGAACACATGGAGCAAGCAAGAGCAAGCAAAAAGCTACCAAATAAAATGCAGACGACATCACACACACACTTCTCTCTCTCTTCATAAGCATCTACACGTGATCCTTTCTGATAATGCATTTAACACACGCTGGTA